AAATCACCAAACATTTGAGGGAAGCCTCTAAAGTGAAAGAGCAAGATCACAACAAACAAGCAAACAGAATGAAGAAAGCTGTTAGAAACAGAATCAATGAAAGAAATAAAAGAAAACATTTTTAAAAATTAATTAGAAAAAGAATGACTCTTTTAAGATACAAAAATGTATTTTGTTTATAAGACAATAAATTAAAAATATGGAAATTTAAAATGTGATTGTGGAAATAAAATCTGAATCTAGAAGTTAAAGATGAAGAAAATCTCCCAGAAATTAGAACAACAATAAAAAAACAAGAAATGAAAAACAGGAGAGAAATAACAGAAAACTAGATGATCAATGCACAAGGGCCGACAGTGGATTGGATTAAAGAGTTACCAAAAAAAAAAGGGAACAGAGAAAAAGGTGAGAAAGAAATTAAATACAGAATTACAAGAAAATATGCCAAAACAGAGGATGGGTCTTCACATTGAAAGAGCTCATTGAGTTCCCAAAAGAGACCTGCACTGAGGCACATCAGTGTGAAATTCAGTCTACAGTTATTAAAGAGAAGATCCCAAAAGCTTCTAAAGCCTAAAGAAAATGGTTACTACCAAAGGTGGGGAATAAGAATTACATCAGACTTCTGAATAGTAGCCCTGGAATCCAGAAGCCAATGGAGGAATAAATGCCTTTAAAATTCTGAGTAAAAAATTATTTTCAGCCTAAAGTTCTATAACAAAACTATCAATCGTGTGTGAAGATAGACTGATTTAGACATGCAAGAATTTTTAACAATTGATCTACTATATTCCTTTGCTTCAGAAGATACTGGAGATGCTTTCTAGCAGAATAAGCACATAAATCAAGAAGGAGGGAAATATAGGATTCAGCAAACAGGAAAAGGGAGAAGGTAAGTCCCAGGTTAATAGGCAAGCGGAAGCCTTCAGTCCTTCCTGCGGCAGGAAGAAGAGGATGGGAATTCATAGATTACCTGAACCATTTGTTGGTACAGTTAGCAAACAATATCAAGAGCGATCTGTAACACCGGTTGGGCATTTGGGAAAAATTAGTAATTTGAATTGTAAAACAAGCAAGTGAAGAAAATCAAGACAATCATTCAATTCAGGAAAAACAGAAAGTTGGTCAAGAAAGGAAACCTCCCTCCAAAAATTAAAAATGGAACCTCCTTTTGACCCAGTGATTCCACTTCTGGGAATATATCTGAAGAAACCCAAAACACTAATTTGAAAGAATATATGTACCCCTATGTTCATTGCATCACTACTTACAATAGCCAAGATCTGGAAGCAGCCCAAGTGCCCATCAGTAGTTGAATGGATTAAAAAGTAATTTGGCCTTAAAAAAGGAGGAAATCTGACCTTTTGCAACAGTATGGATAAACCTGGAGAATATTATGTTAAGTGAAATAAGCCAGTCAGAGAAAGACAAGCACCACAGGATTTCACTTATATGTGGAATCTAATGAACAGAATAAAAGAACAAACCATAGAAAAAGACTCATAGATACAGAGGACAGACTGACAGCTGTCAGGGGCGGGGGGGTTGGCAGGGTGGGTGAAAAAGGTGAAGGGATTAAGCACAAAAAAAAAAAGTCACAGACACTGACAACAGTATGGTGATTGCCAGAGGGAAAGAGAGATGGTGGAGGGAGGTAGAAGAGGGTAAAGGGGGGATAAATGGTGAAGGAAGGAGATTTGACTCGGGTTGGTGAACACACAATACAATATACAGATGATGTATTACAGAATTGTACACCTGAAACCTATATAATCTTATTGACCAATGTCACCCAAATAAACTCAATTTTTTAAAAAAGAAAGGAAATCTCATCAAAATAGGCCAATTTTCTTGGTTCTCAGATGCACATATGTTTATTTTATTTTTTTTAAATCATGTTTATTCTAGTACAGTTGTCTCAATTTTTCCCCCTTTGCCCTCCCCACCCATCCAGCCCCTCCCCCCTCCTACAGTCGATTCCCACTCTGTTGTCCATGTCCACGGGTCATTCATACATGTCCTTTGTCTAGTCCCTTCTCCTTCTTTCCACCGTTGTTTTCCTTCCCCTTCCCCTCTGGTCACTTAAAGAGTCTGAAATCAGGCCACGTCTTTCAGTTGAAGGCCTCTTCCAGTCACTGTCAGCCAGACTGCAGCCCTGATGGAGTTGTCATTGCCTGTGCTTGACCTTGGTCATGATCCCTGTGTTCTGATTCCATAACACCAACCAGTTGACATTTAAATCCACACACCATTGCAGGATTATATGAGGAGGGAATAGGAGTCCTGGTTTGTCAGAACATTTTCTGTGGACACCTTCTGGTAAGAGCAAGAAAGTGCCAGCATCCAGACTTGCGATAGCTTGGAAGAAGATTCTGGAGAACAGAGTGGAATACTCCTTCAGAACTGCTGTATCACTGACATCCTGGGTGGTTTAAAGAATGATGCACTAAAACAAGCAAACAAACAACAACAAATGAGCATTGACAACTGAACCTCTTCTCCTGCAACCTCTGTGATGCAGGAGAAGATTAACTAGGAATTCAAAGAAGGTTTAAGGATACTTACTTTTGCTTCAGTTTTTCTTTTCTGTGTGCACAAAATTGATATATGATTAAAAGTGCCTAAATAAGAGCACTGTCAATAAGTTTACATTAAAATTTTAAGTATGAAAAGAGTTTGGCAGCATATATTCTTTCTTAGTGATTCATATTACAAATGAGGGTGTATCTAAGGTTTTAGGTGGTAGTAGTGAACAATTTTTACATATTCGTAATAATGTAAATACTTTATGTTGATTTTTAATTTAAAATATTAACTATTAAAAGATTAAATAAGTAATATTACATAATTATAATGGTAAAATGGGGAGAAGGTAGATGCATGTGTACAGACACAGAGAAATAGTTGAAAGTGGTATTTCTTGGGAAATGGGGTAGAGGTTTGGGAGGAGTAAGTTACTTGAGTTTTTTTAAATAATCTTTTTCAACTCTGCATCTTATCTTGATCAAAAATAATTTTTTAAATAAAACAAAAATAAAAAGACTCAAGCCCATTCTGTGCTGTTATCATTATGAATGTACACACATTCTTTTCAGGCCATATGTTCTAGCTTTTAGTTTGAGAAGTCTAGTCGCTGTGAGAGATGCAGGATGCCGCAGAGAACTGAACTGGTGTTGGTTGTCTGGGTTTGCATCTTGGGTTTGTTGCTTACTAGCTTTGTGACCTTGACATGTTGTGCAGCTTCTCTGATCTTCATTTTCCTCACCTGTAAGATGAGCAAAAGGCCACGTGTTCCACTGGCTGTGGTGAGGATCAAAGAGAGAAGGTGTGTCAAGTCCCTGGCATGGTGCTCATCCTGGGGTTCAGCTCCACGTAACTTAACTCCTTTTGATTGCACACACCTGTCCCCCGACCCTAGGGGCTTCCCACCTTCTTGGGAACAATGCTGACCCCTTGGAAGTGCGCCTGTGTTCAGGGTTCCCAGGCCCCAGTGAAGCCCTTTGCCCACCCCGATCCCCCGCAGCCACCTCCTGTCCAGAGCTGATGGGGCCCTGAGTATGACAACGGCTCCATTGTTTCTGTCCAAATGAACCCCACAGCAATGTGGCTAGATGCCAGGGGTCATTTGCCTTTCCCCAGGGTCTGGGAGCAGAGGCCTGAGCCCCAGGCTGGCCTAGCACAATGAGCCCAGCCTGCCCACAGATCTGATGAAGGCATGACAAAGCCGTCATCCCGCTCCTGAATCCAGGCTCTGCAGAAGTCAGCCCTCCCTCGGCCCCACAAAGCAACTGCGTTGGGGCTGTGGGTGGGCCGCAACCTGGCAAGCAGAGAGAAGCCCTGCCCTCCCTCCTGGCACCCTTCTTGCCCTCACACCCGGGTCCTGGAGCTCCAGAGGCAGTGACTTCACAGCTACGAGGAGCCTTGTTAGAGGTTGAAAGCAGGCGTTATTTTATTTTCCCTGTGTTGGATGGGACAGCTGCTTGCTCAGGGCTCCTTCTCCCAGCACAGGTAGGCAGTTCATGTTTATACATACAACCCAGAAATATCTAATGAGCCGCACACCAGGGCTGTTGACATTGCCTGGACCTGAAGGGCGTCACATCTCTCTCCAGCTGCACTTTCAGAGGCTGGGAGGCACTGTCAGAGAGTAGAGACAGAATAGATGGAGGAGGGCAGGAACAGCCCTCTCCTAGTGCCATCAGCACTTGGAAACATGACAGCATTCTCTGGGTCTCTGAGCAAAAGATGTGTCCCCAAGCACAGTACTTCCCAATAGAGTATGAACGATGCTACAAGGGAAACAAGGAGGGAAGCAGACAATAAAGAGCTGCAGGGCGGGGGCACTAGGAAAGCTGAATTCCTAGGTCCTTGAAATGGTGGGAGAAAGAGAAAAACACACAGAGGCCTTGAATCAGGAATGTGGGTTCAGGTTCCTGCTCTACCACATACCAGCAGCAAGTCACACAGAACCTGAGTGTCTTCATCTAACAACAGCAACAACAAACACTTTGCAGGGTTGTAGTTGGAAAATTAAGTAGAGCTCAGTCTCTAAGTTTTGTAAAATCTAGCCTTTTTTGTCTCCCACTCATTTGAGGGACATCTGGTGCATCATGGAGGCTCATTTCCCAATTCCCACTCAGGACCGGGTGGTCCCGAAGGTCCCTCTCAACCTCTTCCGGCTCCCTGGCTGACCCAGGAAGCAAGAATCGGGAGAGCCTCGGAGAGAGCTGCGGAGGGATGCAGCATGAGAAAACTGTTCCCCCACCTCCCCTGACCCAAGCAGGTGGGAGGCTGTTGGGCTGAAGGGACGTCCACTCCTTAAAGGTCTCTGGGTAAGGACGTTTAGCAGTCCTCCAGGTCCTCATGGGTGTAGTGAGAGGAACTCTTACCCTGCAGGCTGTCCCTGACCCTTTCCCAGCTTCCTGTCCCCTCCAGGCCCCAACAGCTGCCTGCCCAGCCGAGTAGCACAGCTGTGTGATGTTTCTGTGCTCCTCCCACAGGCCACTGAGTGGGCCTCCAATGAGGACACGCGCCGCTCTTGCCAAAGCAAAGGGAAGACTGAGGTACGTGGCCTTGGTGGTCCGGGGTCCTAGCTTGGAGTTAGCAGGAGGCTTGTGGTTTCTGGGATGGACGGGCAGGTTGTGGGCAGAGAGCCGCCTGCTCAGAGGCCCAGACTGGATGAGCTGGTGCTACTGTACAGGTCAGGCTCAGCCCTGAGCATCTGTGTGGACAGTGAGCAGTCAGACGGCCTGGGAGGGAGGTGTGAGGTCAGAGGATGTCCACGGCTGCCACCTGAACTTTGGAGCAGGGTGCAGCTGGGACACGGGAATGCTTTGAAATAGTTGTGATGAAGTGGTGTGAGGGAAAGACATCCAGCGCTGTGCCTAGAGATCCCGTCCCTTCGTTACTTCCCCTTCTTCCTTCAGGAGGAGTGTCAGAACTACGTGCGAGTCCTGATTGTCACTGGCCGGAAAGTGTTCATGTGTGGGACCAATGCCTTTTCCCCAGTGTGCACCAGCAGACAGGTGGGGACCATTCAGGGTACAGCAGTCAGAACGGGACCCCAAGACTGTCTCTTGCCCAGGCACGCAGCCTTGCAGCGGGGCTGCCAAATTTAGCAAACAAGAACCACAAAACAAACAAACCCCAAAACAAGAAAGGATGCCCAGTTAGATTTAATTTCCAATAAACAACAAATGATATTTTAGCATAAGTATGTCCCACCCAAGATTTGGGACATACTGGGTTGGTCAAAAATTTTTTTTTTTAGTTTTTTTCCATAAGATGGCTCTAGTAGCACTTAATTGTCTTTAACTTCATTCAACACAATTTTGTTATATTTTATTGTGACAACTGTCATATCAACATACATTTTAAAAAACTTATCAAAATTGGTGAATTTTTGTGCAGCCATTTTAATATTGAAGATGGAAGAAGATATGCAATATTTTCAGCATATTATGGCTTATTATTTTAAGAAAGGTAAAAACACAACTGAAATGCAAAAAAAAAAAGATTTTTTGCAGTGTAATGAGAAGGTGCTGTGACTAATTGAACGTGTCAAAAGTGGTCTGCAAAGTTTCTTGGTGCTATTGACATTTTGGTCAAAGAATTTGTTGCTGTGAGGCTGCCTTATGCACTGGAAGATGTTTAGTGGTACCCCTGGCCTCTACCCATTAGAAGCCAATGGCGGGAGGTAGTCAACATATTCAAAATATCCAAATCAATAAAGTTATTGGTGAAAATGAAAAATGTGTTTTTTATTTAACAGAGAAAACTAAACGGACTTTATGGCCAACCCAATACTTACACTAAAAATTAGTTACTGCTCATTGAAACTCAAATTTAACTAGGCCTCCTGTATTTTATCACTCTACCTTACCACGCAGGCACTAGAAGCAGGTGGAGCTCCTGGCACAGCCTCGTCTTCCATGAGGGCTGCTCCCTCAGAGGGGCTGAGGGTGGACATTGAGGAGGAGCCTGGGAGGGAGGGGCCCACAGAGACCAGGGGCCCAGAAGGAAACAAAACTCCAAGATGGAAAAACACCTGGATCTCAGGGAAAAGCACCCCCATCTTCCCGTCATTCTCAGGTGGGGAACCTCACCCGGACTATGGAGAAGATCAATGGTGTGGCCCGATGCCCCTACGACCCTCGCCACAACTCCACAGCTGTCATCTCCTCCCAGGGAGAACTCTACGCAGCCACAGTCATCGACTTCTCAGGTCGGGACCCTGCCATCTACCGAAGCCTGGGCAGTAGGCCGCCACTTCGCACTGCCCAGTATAACTCCAAGTGGCTCAATGGTAAGGAGGCACAGCCCCGACCGGGGGTTCCCCTAGTTCTGACCCACCAGCCCCGCCCGACCCCCATCAGTCCTCCTTCCCGCCCAACCTCTGAAAGGGCTCAAACTCGCATCATCAAGAGGCCCAGAGTGGGACATGTGTTTGCCCAAGTCGATGGACTGTGGCTGAAGTCACAGATGGCGTGAGTACCCAGGACAGATGGAGGACAAGCTATGAGGGGAGAGAAAGAATTAGCAATTGATTTGGAGGAACGGTTATGGGAAAGAAGAGATTGGGAGAGGACAGTATGAGGTTCCTGCCCATTTGGAGTTAAATCCCTACTTCCCCACAATCTAGCTGTGTGGCCTTGAGCAAGTATTGGCCTTTTTGTGCCACAGTGCCTTCATCTGTAACATGGGGCAGTACTGACCTCACAGGTTGTTCACAGGATCAAATGGCTGATCCATATAAACACTCAATATAGTACCTGGTACACAGAGAGTGCTCAGCAAGGCATGTTAACTATTATTTTTACTGCACTTTGTATTGGAGGTAGGAACGGGGTTAGTTAGAACCCTCATGTCACCAAGTTGGTGGAGGGGGGTCAGAATGCTCCTCGGGGAAACCGAGGTAATCGCGTACTCCCCGCTCCAACCCCTTCCTCCTTGCTGGCCTGACTCACCCCTTGTCCCTCTTCTGCCCCAGAGCCAAACTTTGTGGCAGCCTATGATATTGGGCTGTTTGCATACTTTTTCCTGCGAGAGAACGCTGTGGAGCATGACTGTGGACGCACCGTGTACTCACGGGTGGCCCGCGTGTGCAAGAACGACGTGGGGGGCCGCTTCCTGCTGGAGGACACATGGACCACGTTCATGAAGGCCCGGCTCAACTGCTCCCGCCCGGGCGAGGTCCCCTTCTACTACAACGAGCTGCAGAGTGCCTTTCACCTGCCCGAGCAAGACCTCATCTACGGGGTCTTCACCACCAACGTGTGAGTCCCTGTCCTCTGCCACCTTCCCTGAGATGCCGGGGAAATGCTCTGATCTGGTCTTGCAGCCCGGTGGGCTCGGGGAAGACCCTCTCTGGGTCTTGTTTCTCTTTCTGTATAAGAGGGATTGTTGCGTCTCCTGCACTGGGGCGTCTGGGATTTTGCGGCGTGCGGCCTCTGCAGCGGTCAGCGTTTACTCTGGGTTGCTGCGAAGGGCAGGCCTAGAGCAAATATGAAGAATAGAAGGAGCTGCATTGCAGTTTCATGAGGAAGAACTTGCTGATGATGAAGTGAAATAGCTGCCTCGAATAAGGGGATGGCAGCCCCAGAAGGGTCTGGCAGCAACCTACTGGGGAGGTCCAGAGGGGATTCTTTACAGTCCCTTCCAACCTCAGGATTCCACGGCTCTGCTAGGCCTACCCAGCAGACTCTTCCAGCAATCCCGACTGCGCTGGCAAACACAGGCTGGGAGGCAGAGCCCCCTTGCTTCCTACGTGTAAGAAAGGGTAGCCCTCGCAAAGATCCTGAGTCCTCCTCCCACCTCCTCCTTCTCTGTTGAGGTTGACCCAATCAGGTGATTTTCACATAGAGAATACTGAATGGGTGGCAGAGACCAAGGAAAGCATTTGTTGTACCAGATGCCATTCAGGGTTGTTTGTAAGAACATCAGAAACACAGGAGCCATGGAGAAGCAATTGCTCACCTTGAGCCCCACATAGCAGGCATCGGATGAGGGCCAGGCTGGCTATGGAAGGACAGTCCGAGGGGCTGCACAGGGACGAGAGTAAAGCTGGGAAGCAGGAACAGCCAGGGAGACAGAGTGCAGCACAGCCCACACCGGCCAGGAGCTGATAGCCAGGCCTTAATGACCAGCCTGGCAATCAGCACCAGAAGGTGAGCAAAGGGCAGGAGCTACTGGAGAGGCATCGAGGAGAAATGATGACATTAATGTAGATTGTAAACAGATTGCATTGTGTGCCTTTTCCATGCCCAGTGCTTATTGGGCGGGTTAGCGGGTGGAGGGTGGGATACCATGGAGCAAGAGCAGACCTGTCTCTGCCCTTAAGGAGCTTACATTCTAGAGAGGGCGATTATTACACAATTTTAATTGTGATAAATGCTACAAAGGGAGAGGGCAGTACACAGGGAAACCTCCAAAGGTATGGAGGCGTGGTGTTCTGGGAAGACTTGCTGTAGGAGGTAACATCCACAAAGATTAATAAGAAGTAACTTGGGAAGCCCTGGACGGTGTGGCTCAGTGGACTGAGCGCCGGCCTGCGAACCAAAGGGTTGCTCGTTCAATTCCCAGTCTGGGCAGATGCCTGGGTGCAGGCCAGGTCCCCAGTAGGGGGCACATGAGAGACAACCACACATTGATGTTTCTCTCCCTCTGTTTCTCCCTCCCTCCCCCTCTTTTTAAAAATAAATAAGTAAAATCTTTAAAAAAATATTAACTTGGGGAGAGGAGAAGTCTAGCTCAAGGGAGCAACACTTGCAAAGCTTTTGGGCAGGAGGAAATGTTTGAGGAACTGAGCCAGAGGAGCCAGAGAAGTGTAGCAGGAGTCTGGAGGGTGAAGAGGAGAAAGACGCGAGAGGAGGTAGACAGACTGGGATGGGGAGGATTACTCCCTGCAAGCCTTACAGACTGCTTTACAGGTTTTGATCTTTATTCTAAGAGCAGTAAGTTATTGAAAGGCTTGAAGCAGGTCAGAGACCAGCTCGGGGTGCATTTTGAAACACACTCTGGCTGCTGTGTGGAGAATGGGTTAGAGGAGATGGGGCAGACTGCAGGGGAGCCCACCAGGAGGACAATGCAACATCCAGGGGAGACGATAGGGGCCGAGAACAGGCCGAAATGGACACATCTAGGAGAGGGACTAAATGCAGAGAACGGAGCTGGAAACATTGGTGTAGCAGTATCATCTCCGAACTGCTCACATCAGACTCATAGAAACATCAGACTGTGACTGAAAGGGGTCTTAGAGGTCATCTGGCTCAGGGTGTTGTGGACCACAGTATAGCAGTGGTTTGGTAACCCATGTTTTTTTAAAAAATAATAAAATAAGTAAAACAGAATAAACTGGAGTAGAAATATCAGAGTATCATGTATTTAATAAGGGTATTGTTTCATAAAAATTCATTGCAGGTGTGTGTGTGTGTGTGTGTGCGTGCATATATGCGAGTTAGACTGAGTTGTAATCTAAAACATATTCCTACAGTGGCCATGGGTGAAATGTTCGAAAGCACTGACTTAATTTGACCCTCCCACAGGAGAAGGGAAGGGGATGAGAAATAGCACAGAGGAACCCACCAGTGCTTCTCATCAGTGGGTCTCTCTTTCCCAGAGGGTTTCCAGAGCATGAGGACCACATTTCCTCCCTCTGTGACACCCGTCACACAGAAGGCACCAGGCTCATCGCAGGCATTTAATCAGCCTTGGAGCTGTGCCGGGCGGTGCCTTGATAACAGGCTGTGTGGTTTAAGGAGGGTGCCGGAGCCTAAGGCAGGGCTGGGGAGCAGTGCAGCATCCTGCCACCTCTTGCCTTTCAGAAACAGCATCGCCGCTTCTGCTGTCTGCGCCTTCAACCTCAGTGCCATCTCCCAGGCTTTCAATGGCCCGTTTCGCTACCAGGAGAACCCCAGGGCTGCCTGGCTCCCCATCACCAACCCCATCCCCGATTTCCAGGTACGGCTTCTCCTCTCCTCCCCTCTCTGCACACACTGCCTTTCACCGGGCTACGAGCCGCAAGCTGATTCCCAAACTTGTCCCTGCTGGCCTGCATCCTTCTGAGGGGTCTACGGTGGTCCCCTAAGAGGGTGCCACCCTCTAAGGCTGTGGAGTGAGAAGGGTCGAGGGGGTGGGGCACAGAGCAAGGGAACTTGCTCTGAGCCATCTCTAAATGTAGCCCCACCTCCGGGGAGGTAAGGAGGTGGGACCTCAGCTGTCCTCCGTGTAGGGGACCTGGAGAGCACGCATGAGATGTGTGGCTAGAATTTGGGGATTTTAGCTGGGGTTTGCTTGCAGTCTACAGTGTGGGCGCTCATGCTTGGAGGGCCTCTGAATGCTAGGAGTGGGGAGGGCACCAGCTGCCCTGGACAGTACGAGCACCCTCAGGGCTGTGGAGTGGGGGGAAGGAGCCACGGGGCATAAGCTACTTTCACATCCATGCAACTTCCTGCCCAGGGCCAGAATGGAGCAAGGGAAGACCTTCAACCTTTGCAGTCCAATAATCCTAACCCAGATCTGGCCCCTCTCTGTGTGACCTTGGGCAAGTCACCCAACCTCCTTGAGTCACCTTTTCTTTATTTGGCATGGAGGGATAATTCCAATAACTTCATAGATATATGTGAGGCTTGATATGCACCTGATATGGTACCTGGAATGTAGTAGGTGCTCAAAGTGGTAGTTGCCTTCTAGTTTTGGTTTGAAAGGCATAACAACTTGAGCAGGTCCAGACACAGAAGAGGGAAGGCAGGGCTTGGCACAGCATGAGGGAGGGGTACCTAGGGCAGCAGCATATGATCACAGGACACTTGTTATCCACACTCAGATAATCTGTTTTTAGATAATCCAGTCCCTTTATATCTCCCCCTCTTCTTCCTCAGTCCTGGCAGGTCCTTCCTGCCCCATCTTCCCAGCCCCAGTTCCCCTTATTTCCCAAAAAAGAGGCATCTCTCCTTGGAAGAGAGTGCGTGGGAGTCATTGGGAATATGCGGGGTGGGGGCGGGGGGAACTGAGGAATCAAAGTCTGCCCGTGACCACCTGGGTTACAATAAGGAAGGAGGGAGATAGGGGATTTCGGCAGCCCCAGCGGCTGTGCACCTGTGACCCTACTCCCCGCGCAGTGCGGCACCCTGTCTGAGGCGGGCCCCAACGGGAACCTGACGGAGCGCAGCCTGCAGGACGCACAGCGCCTGTTCCTGATGAGCGAGGCTGTGCAGCCCGTGACTCCCGAGCCCTGTGTCACCCAGGACAGTGTGCGTTTCTCACACCTCGTGGTGGACCTTGTGCAGGCCCAGGACACGCTCTACCATGTGCTCTACATCGGCACGGGTGAGCGCGACCGGCAGATCTGGGCTAGGAGTGGGAGGAGGTTGAGGGGCGAGGGCTAGGGCCCTGAGGTTTCTTCTGGTCCTTTAAGGCCACCCTCATCTGACCCTTTCAGAGTCAGGTACCATCCTGAAGGCGCTGTCCACGACGAGCCGCAGCCTCCGAGGCTGCTACCTGGAGGAGCTGCACGTGTTGCCCCCCGGGCGTCGTGAGCCGCTGCTCAGCATGCGCATCCTGCACAGCGCCCGCGCGCTCTTCGTGGGGCTGAGCGACAGCGTGCTGCGCATCCCGCTGGAGAGGTGCGCCTCCTACCGCAACCAGGGGTAAGCCGTGCCAGGGGCGGACCTCCCCTATCCCTGCCAATCGCGCCTCGGAGGGGGCGCTCTGGAGCCTGTTGGACCTGGGGTGGATCCTGGCACAGTCTCCAGCTATGTGCCTTTGGGCAGTCAGTCACTTAACCTCTCTGATCCTTGGTTTCCTCCTCATAAGTTCTCGGGGAATCGGTATAAACCACTTGTCACTGCCTGGAGGTGTGACAGTGGTCATCTCTGTTGTCAGTGCCCACTTGATTTCTTCTCAACCCCTTCTGTTCAGAGTGGTCTTTATCTTTGAAACCACAGCGCTAGTTTCGGAGAGAGGGCAGATTGCAGAGGATGCTTTGAGTCACTGACCCCCCCCCCCCCCCCCCAACCTCCATTCTTGCTCCTCTTGCTTCCTTAGAAGAGGCAGAGAGGCTTTGCTTGGGTGGAATGGAGGTCAGGAACCATGTGGATACTGCATACCCTGCCCAACTGCTTCGGAGATCAGTCCTCTAGACCTTAGCTTCAAGTAGATTCACAAATTTGGCAACGGTGACACTGGTACTTAAGGGGGAAACAAAAGCTTATTTTGAAGCCAAATGGAGATATAGCTCGGACTCGGACCACATGAGCCTCCCCAAGCTGCCCTCTCTCATTTTTAAGCTAGTCAAAAGCTGCCTTTAGCTGGCATGGCCGCAGCCCACATGGGCACCTGTGGCTTTTGCAACACAGAGACCTTCCGGTTGCACCCATCTGTCCTTGAGATTTGGGAGACAAATGAATTTTCTGCTGCTGGAGATGTTCCTCCAAGCCCAGTGGAGTGTGCTAGCAGCTGAGCAGAGGCCTGGAAGACAGAGAGAGGGCCTGGATAGTCCTAATGTGGCAACAGCGCGGGGAGGGGGCAGTGGGCAGACGCTAGAGCTCCCCTCAGCCCCAACACATGGCTCCATCAACAAACCACCAAACATTTGTTTAGCCCTACTGTGCTCAGAGCACTTTGTGGAGCTGTCGGTGTGAAAGAAGCTAGGCAAGATGAAATAGGCCTAGAATAATTTCATTTTCCTCAGCGCTCTGAATGTGTGGTTGAGGGGAGAAATCTTGACTTGTATCTGACATGTGGGAAGGCATCGGAATGTAGTGGGAGGGACTCACATGCTAGAACTGGACACACCTGGGGTTCCATCTCAACTCCACACTTAATCTTTTGAACTTTGGCTTTTTCATCAGGAAAAGCCCAGAGGGGGGAGGGGACAGTGATGGAGCAAATGATATTAAATTTTGGCCAAGTTCTTGTAAGAATTGGGAATAATATTCATGAAGTGCCTATGCAGTGCATCGTAAGTGGTAGCTAGTGTCCTTAGTCCTTTCTTATCACCAGAAATGCATTTAGGGGCCTCCTGGGCTCTCTGGAGTCTATAGTCCGCAACATTGACTACAGACAGTGCTGCTTGACAATGAACCACAGGCTACCTGCTGGTGACATTCCCCCCATAACTTGTGTTCTTTAACTCTTGTGTTGTTTGCACACTTTTCACATGTGCCTTATTCTTTAAGAGGTTGTACATCCTTGAAGGTAAGCTCAGTTTTCTCGGTATTTTTTCTATTCCACCAGGAGGCCAAATGCAGCCCAAGGCACTAATGGCACTTGGTGGCCTCCACGCATGATTGGTTGTTCTTGGTTTGGCTGGAAAGGAGGCTGGTGCAGGAGAGGAGTGAGGAGCAGGACTGGGACGCGGACTGAGGCCAGCTGAGGTGCCAAGGGCAGATTTCGATTTGAATCCTGTGGCTGTGGGCACTGCAATGGTCTTTGAGCAGGGTAGTGGGTGACAGGCAGCATGAATGGGTGTTTTAAAAGATCAATCAGACAGTGGTGGGCAGCACTGTCGTGAGGCAGATGGTCAGCCAGTGTGAGCTAATGTGGCTCTAGCCAGATATGAAATAATGGGATCTGCAGCAGAACAAGAGGAAGAAAGATACTACCGGGACATGTGCCCGCTCACTGGTACTGCAGAGAGGGCACAGGCAGGTTGCATAGCACGGCCAGGTGGAACAGCAGCTAGAAAGAGGTCAGTTGGGAGTCTAAAACTTTCACCCTATTTGGCTTCCTGAGTTCAGGATAAGAGCCATTTATGTGTACAATGAAAACCCTGCCATAAAGCTATAGGTGGATATAAAAATGTAAAATGTGAGGTTTCATTATTGCAAAGTTAATAAAATGACCAGAGTAAACCTGTGCAGCCACCAAGCTGTGCACTGCAGAGTCCAGAAGCCAATTATCTATAATACAACGTGCAATGTATCAGAATTTGTGTGTTATGGGGTGGGTTGTCACAGGGTTTTACCCCAGGATAGAGAGTTCCTCTCATGCCTTCCCCTCATGCCTTCCAACGCTGGCAAGAGGGTGAGGGTGGGTAAGCAGAGCCCCTTTGGGTCCCCTTCTCTGCCCAGAATCCATGTCCAGCTACCTCCTTTCACTGAGGCAAATCTCAGCTCCATGAGGCACAACCAGAACCCTAGGCTGGCCAGAGAGAGGCCAGGGCTCAACAGAGGAGCAGAGGGGACGACCCGCTGACTTGGCTCTGCACGCAACTGTTTCATGCATGAACCACCCCCTTCCTCGTTCCAGCTGCACTGGAGGGGGGTGGCCTCTACCCCAGCTCCCTCAGGAGGGAGGCTCAGAGTGTCTCCTTCTCACCTCCCTCCCGGCTGGGGGCCTTGGCCCACCTCCGCTGCCATCTTAAAGAACAGCCACTTGCTCCCAAGCTCTTGGGACACTGTTGCTACCCTGGACAGCTCCCATTTAGCGACTTGGGGTATGTGCTGGAAACTGCCTGCTTGCAACCACCACCATCCACCTCTGTCCTGCCTCTGAGCCCATGGCATGAACCTGTTTCTTTCTACAATGGCTGCTTGTCTCTGACGGTAGGATTGGGTGGCAGTAAAAAAGACACGGTAATACATTATTGGTCTGATCGCTGCTTTCATGAAAGAAAACCTAAACTGCCACCTAATCCTGCAGTCAGAGACACACTCTAACTCTTCCCTGCCTGGAGCTTTAATTTTTTTAGGAATGTTCCCTGCTTTGGTGTGGCTTTGGAGTGGCGTTTGACAATAGCAGCGAATGCAGAGGAGAGAGCTCAGAGCTCAGGCCCGAGCCCCGGGAAGCCCTGCAAGCCCCCTCCGGCAGCCTGGGAGGGGGGGCGGGGCAGGGCTGGAGCGTCCTGGGAAGAGCAGAGGCGGGGGCGCGGGCGGGGGGCGGGGGGGTGGTGCGGGGGGTGGAGGGAGCCTGCTTAGGGGCAGGGTGTGGGGTGTGGGGCTGGGCTAGCATCTACACTGAGGTTTTTCTTCACTCTTTTCTTATTCTGTCATGGATTGGAGAGACGAGGCACTTTACGTTTTGGCTTTGGAACGTTAACAGCAGTGGCCCTGAAAGAGCAGTTCTCAGCCGTGCTATTTGTTAGAGTCACCTGGGGAGTATTTAAAAGATTCCAGTGCCAGGCCTACTCCAGTCCAAAGGCCCAGAGAAAGTCAGGAGTTGTTTTGTTTTGTTTTGTTTGCTTAAGCTTTTTAAAAGATCCCCAGGAAATTCTGCTTTGCAGTCAAGACTGTTCTAGAATTGGGTAGGCCTGAAGTGAAAGAAATAGCATGAGGCAAATTGCATTTCTCCTGAACCTTTTGCTTTTATCTGTGTAAACTAATTCAAATTTTCTGCTCTTATTCATTTTCTCTACTGGCAGACATTTGTTTTTGGTAGATAACATCTTATTTATTATTATTAATCATTGCTAGTCAAGGCTAGTTCTTTTTTTCCCTTTTTAAAAAATGTAATGTATGTTGCTTATAAAGTCCAGTATCAACTCCTTCTAGGGTTCGGTACCCCTTTCTGAGAGCTGGGGAAAATACACTCAGGAGTGGGCTTTACTGAGTCCTGACTGGCTGGATTTTGGTAACAGCCAATTTGGTCCAAATGTCAGCAAGTGAGCAGACTCTCAAAACCAAAGGCTGCTGGGACTATGTTTACACATGTATTGTATTTAGGCCCACGATGTCTAGTTTGATGCATTCTGCTGATGAAATACCCCCAGATCAAACCACTGATCTGAGATGAAAATACGAGCACACTTACACTATACAATTTACACAAATTGTGCTTGAGTGAATAAAGTGAAAACAGATTCTTGAGCAACACACAAATGTTCTGGATTCCTGGGTGGGCCAGGGTACGCTTACTGGGGTCCAGTGAGGCCCTTACCTACTGAACCCCCAAGCATCACTTCCCTTATACGAGGTCATGGGTTGCGGAGCAAGGGACAGCATTGTTTTCTTTGACCTCCAGTGATGGCAAGGGGAGGCCCCACCCTCTTCTCCATAAGGTCTCTCATAAAACCTCTTTTCTCTCTGGAGCCCGGTGTGGAGACATGGTCTATTGAACTCACTAAAAATAAAGAAATCACTTCACAGGTGACTCTCCCTGAAGCCTCAAGGGAAAAGAAGGATTCTATCCTGGATACACCAAAAGGGCCAACCCCTTGACTCTTCCATGTATCCCTTTAGCCCTTGACATCCCTGGCCCCTTTGGCCAATGGAAAGTTCCTCTGCAGATCCTGTGGGGACAATAACAATATCTTCCTTATTGTGCTGTTGTACTAAATTCTTTCATGCTTTTGAAGCACTTAAAATGATGCCTGGCTCACAGTACAGTGTTCAATGAACTTATTATTATGGAGAGCAATTGGATGGAAAGGGGGGTCCAGAGAGAAGCAGCCAGGTGTGTCCTTGGGATGCAGAGGAGGCTGGGAGGCCACTGGGTCTGAGTCTCAGGACCTCTGTCTGTCAGGGCATGCCTGGGGGCACGGGACCCGTACTGCGGCTGGGACGAGAAGCAGCAGCGTTGCAGCACACTCGAAGACAGCTCCAACATGAGCCTCTGGACCCAGAATATCACAGCGTGTCCTGTGAGAACCCCTCTGTGCCCCCACCCAGGACCTCTCCCCCCAGTTCAGACTGTGACCCCCACCAGAATCCCCACATCTCCTAGGACCTCGTGCCTTCCCCACCTCTGCCTTGTGTGACCAGACCTAGCCTCTGATGTGTGTCTGCAGGTGCGGAATATGACTCGGGACGGGGGCTTCGGCCCATGGTCAATGTGGCAACCATGTGAGCACTTAGATGGAGACAACTCAGGCTCTTGCTTATGTCAGGCCCGAGCCTGTGACACCCCCCAACCTCGCTGCGGGGGCCGAGACTGTGTGGGGCCAGCCATCCACATCGCCAACTGCTCTAGGTATGTGGGGATACAGGGCTTGCTTGGCTCCTGTCTTAAACCAGAGTAGGGCATCCCCAGCCAGCTGTTTGCACTAACAAATGGAAACCCTTTCAGGGCCGTGCAAAGGACTGGACAGGTAGCTAAAGCCAGAGGCAGGAAACAGGAGCCCCTGGGGAGCTTCCACTCTAGTAGAAGTCCTGCCTGTGGGGGCCCCTGATAATGTGCAGAGGAAGGCCTGCCAGGCATGGGAGTCACCCCTGGACAGACCTAGCCTTAACAAGCCTTACTGTCCCAAACACAAGGGACAGCATGGCATGGTAAGGCAGGCGGGCCTAGTGCCAACCCTGGCTTGCCTCTGTCTGGAGGTGTGGCCTTGATACCAAGCCACCTAATCACTCTGAGCTTCTCTAAGTGGGGGCTACACTCCTCACCACAGGAGTTGTTGAGAGGGTTACAGGGGGTAAGAAAGTGCTTGCACACTGCCTAGTACCTGGGGGCCCTATAAAGTGCTTATAACAACTAACCCACAATTCTGGACACTCTTAAAATAACTTAATCTTGTATACATTTATTAATGTAACTGTCACAACAACCTCATGGAAGAAGGAATACAATCATTATCCTTACTTTAAAGATAAGAGTATGATGAAGCACACAGGTTTCAGTAACTTACCCAGGCTTATACAACCAGTAAGTGGTAGAGTCAAAATTTGAAAATTAGAGTCTAGGTGGACAAGAGTGAGTGGTGTATGAGGCTGGAGCACAGCGTGTGCAGTGGTAGAACAGGTGAGGGAGCAGGCGTTTGAGTGCAAGGGTTGGCCAACCAAGAAGGTTGAAATGAAGGTTGCAGATTGGAAAGGCAAAGTGGGGCCTTCTCTTTGTGCCCCCCTGAGTACAGGCCGTGCCCTATCTCCGTACCCTTAGCCCTGAGCACAGCCGGTACCTGCAAGAAGACTCTCCAGACATGTTTGAGGAATGAATGAACAAATGAATGAATGAATGAATGCGTTTGCCTGAGATGGCCTGGTTAAGAGCCAATATTTTCTGTCACCATCTGGCACTTGCTGACAACAACAAAATCCATCTGCCCAGATGTAGACTAGATCAGAGAAGTAGGACTCAGAGGTGATCTGTCTCTGTTTCCTCCGACCCGGCCAGGAATGGGGCGTGGACCGCGTGGTCGCCGTGGGCCCTGTGCAGCACAACCTGCGGGATAGGATTCCAGGTCCGCCAGCGAAGCTGCAGCAACCCTGCTCCCCGCCACGGGGGCCGCATCTGCGTGGGCAAGAGCCGGGAGGAGCGGTGAGCAGGCTGCGGCTGGGGCTTTCTGAGACTAGAAGCTAGCGCTGAAGTCCCAGGCTTTCGTGGGGAGGGGTTGGGAGTGGGGGACCTCTCCAGGTGATCCAGTGGACTCTAGTCCTTCCCTGTTCGCACTCCCACTGACCTCTCATGAGGGAAGGGGGCGCCGGCTCCCTAGAGCGATGACCTCCTCCCTTCATATCCCTCAGGTTCTGTAACGAAAACACACCTTGCCCGGTACCCATCTTCTGGGCATCTTGGGGCTCCTGGAGCAAGTGCAGCAGCAACTGTGGGGGCGGCGTGCAATCGCGGCGTCGGGCCTGTGAGAACGGCAACTCCTGCCCAGGCTGCGGCGTGGTGAGGGCCAGCGCCGGACCAGGGGGCGCAGGCGGAACGGGACTCGGGACCTGGAGCCAACTGGAGGGCGGGCCCAGGCGGGAACTCAGGGCAGGCCTGGGAGCTGCAGGCTCTGAAACAACCCCGGCTCCCATCCCCAAGGAATTCAAGACGTGCAACCCCGAGGGCTGCCCCGAAGTACGGCGCAACACGCCGTGGACGCCGTGGCTGCCGGTGAACGTGACTCGGGGCGGGGCGCGGCAGGAGCAGCGATTCCGCTTCACGTGCCGCGCGCCCCTGCCCGACCCTCACGGCCTGCAGTTTGGCAGGAGAAGGACGGAGACCCGAACCTGCCCAGCGGACAGCTCGGGAACCTGTGACACAGACGGTACAGCCCCGCGCGCACCCCACAGGCCACTCTTCCTCCCAGGTCCAGAGCGATGGGGCGGGGGCGGGGGCGGCTGGGAGCACGAGCTCGGGGTGGGCGGAACGCTGCACAGTGTGGAGAAGTTCCGGCTGCTGAGACCAGTCCTTGCGCCCCCGCAGCCTTGGTGGAGGATCTCCTGCGCGGCGGGGGCACCGCCCAGCACGTGGTGAGCGGGGGCTGGGCCTCGTGGGGCCCTTGGTCGTCCTGCTCCCGGGACTGCGAGCTGGGCTTCCACGTCCGCAAGAGGACGTGCACGAACCCCGAACCCCGCAACGGGGGCCTGCCCTGTGTGGGCGATGCCACCGAGTATCAGGACTGCAACCCCCAGGCTTGTCCAGGTAACACTGTGCTAAGGAATCTTTGTTCAGGAAAGCCTCGACTAGGGAAACCTCTCCCCAGGGAACCCCCTTCTAGGTGACTCAGGCCCACCCAGGCCACACCTCATGCTCAGGTGACCTCTTCTTCCTGCCACCTCTCTATAAAGGGCCCCACAACAATTTCTTGCCCTGATCATGGACTCTGCCGCTACTGCTATCGAGCAGTTTTTCCTCACCTTCCTATCCCTTTTTTTCTCTCTTCAAGTGGGCTAGCCTGATCAGGAGCTTGTTTTGAGTTGCTTTTCGATGCCTCCTCTGCAGCCTCCATTTCTCCCTGGCACCTCTGGCAGGGAAGGGCCTCTCCCTAACGGTGGGCTCTGCGAGTGGGGGTGGGGCGGAGGTGAAGGTCTGTGTGGCCGAGGGCAGAAATGGCAGTGCCTGGGATGGGGTAGAAGACTCTCTAGGGTCCTTCTCGCGCCTGTAGCACCCTTCACACACCCCTGTCCCCTTGTAGTCCGAGGCGCCTGGTCCTGCTGGACCTCCTGGTCCCCATGCTCAGCCTCCTGCGGCGGTGGCCACTATCAACGCACACGTTCCTGCACCAGCCCCGCGCCTTCCCCAGGCGAGGACATCTGTCTGGGGCTGCACACAGAGGAGGCTCTGTGTGCCACAGAGGCCTGCCCAGGTACTGAGTACATCTGGCCTGGGCTGGGGAGCGCCATGGAGCCTGCCAATCCCCACCAGAGGGTGCTAGGGCAGTTAACCTCGTCCCAACCCACAACCCACAGAAGGCTGGTCACTGTGGTCCGAGTGGAGTGCATGCACTGAGGACGGAGTCCAAACCCGCAGCCGGCACTGTGAGGATCTGGTCCCAGGGCCCAGCACCTGTGCCGGGAACAGCAGCCAGAGCCGCCCCTGCCCTTACAATGAGATTCCTGGTAGGTCTTCCAACCACCACCTTCAAACCAGTGCTTCCCACTGAGTCCCCAACTTCCTTCCTCTTCTGAAGCATGTATTCTGGGTTGGGGTGCAGGATGGAACATCAGGGTGGGAGGCACCCGGGCCCCAGGTCTCTCCCACAGCTCAGTGCTCACCCGGAGGTCCTCCTCCCAGAGACACATCTAGCCCCAGAGGGACCCCTGTCTCCTCCCTGCACCGACACCCTCTCTGCGTCTCTTCCTGCAGTGATCCTGCCCGCCTCCAGTGTGGAGGAGGCCACCGGCTGTGGAGGTAAAAGGAACCTGTCCGTCCCCCCCTTATGATACTGTCCTTCTATCTCTCCTCTTCAAGTAGGAGACCCACCTTTCTTTGAAGCGTGGAACCTCCCCACCTCCCACTCCAGACAGACAAACCTTGTGGAGGTTCCCCACTGCTTTAGACCCTGTGGAGGGGGCTCTGGGCCATTTCATCCACGCCCCCCAACTACGAGGCAGTCACCAAGAAGAGTATTCAAGGAGAGTCACCCAAGTCCACATCCTCTGCTTGCCTCTGACACAAGCCCTAGGTGGTCCTGTGAGAGAGGCCCCCGGTGAGGGCTGCCCAGCCTGCTGTCTCCATTGGCTCTGGCCTCAAAGCTCTTTATGCCTCAGAGCCTCCTGTTGGGAGGCAGTCGCGAGGCTCTCCTCTGCACAGGGGCCCTTCCCTTATCACTTACCTCTCCCTCTCCCAGGGTTCAGTCTTATCCACCTGGTGGCCACGGGCATCTCCTGCTTCCTGGGCTCTGGGCTGCTGACCTTGGCAGTGTACTTGTCCTGCCAACACTGCCAGCGCCAGTCCCAGGAGTCCACGCTCGTCCATCCTGCCACCCCCAACCACCTGCACTACAAGGGTGGGGGCACCCCGAAGAATGAGAAGTACACACCCATGGAGTTCAAGGTGGGAGCCCGCCTGTAGAAGCAGAGGGCAGGGTGATGGGTGCAGTGGTTCCGACTGTAAGGTGGGCATACTGGGCTGGGCACTTGGGAGGGAGCGGCGGTGCTGTAAACAGAATACTGTCAGCAGTTAGAATGTCCTTTCTTTCACTGGCTCCTGTTCTCCTTGACCTGGCTGTCCCCTTCCCCATCTACCTCTTCACCCCTTCTTCTGTTGCTCCCTTCTCCCACAGACCCTGAACAAGAATAACCTGATCCCCGATGACAAAGTCAGCTTCTACCCGTTGCAGCAGACCAATGTGTACACAACCACCTACTACCCCAGCCCACTGAACAAACACAGCCTCCGGCCCGAGGCCTCACCTGGACAACGGTGCTTTCCCAACAGCTGATACCACTGTCCTGGGGACTTGGGCTCCTTGCCGTCCGAAGGCACAGAGTAGCCGGAAATGGGACCGTGGAGCCAGTTTGGTTTTCTCCTTCTGCACTAGGCCAAGAACTTGCTGCCTTGCCTTGCCAGGGTCCCATCTGGCTTCCAAGAGCTCTGGCTGGCAGTGACCATGGGAGAGAGGGCTGGTTTCAGGCCAGCACATGGCTGCAGTTCCAGCTCAGCCCAGGTCTCTCATGGCCTCCTTTCGACTCAACACCATGCTGACCTTCCCTGCCATGCTTGGGCTGTGGACCTGCTGGGCATGTGAGGAACTGGAGAGTGGGGCTGGCAGGAGGGCAGGCTCTTAGGTTTGGGTTGGAGATGACAGCTGTGTGGCCCTCATGGGCTGAGTCTGCCCCTCCCTGGGAAGGCCCTGGTCTATGTCCTGATTATTCTGAAAGGAATTCATTAAATGGCCCCAAAAGCTCTGGATTGTCTGCCCAGGGCTGAGCCACTGGGGGCCTGCTCCAATGTGACAGAGGGACCAAGGCCGGCCCAGGTTGTCTACCTGTGCCTAGCAGTGTGTACTTTGGCCAGGGACATACCTCTAGTCAGAGGCAGTGAGAGCTGAGGACTGAAGACACATCTTTGCTGTGAAGCCCTTTGATCTGGGCTGGCACAGGCCTTGGTCTTGCCCTCAGAATGCACGAAAGATGGCCCAGGAGAAAAGGAGGCAGGAGCCCAGCCTCCGTGCCACTATGGAGACTGTCTTCCAGTTGCTGCTCAAAAGAACTGCTGGCTGAGACCTGCTGGGGAGCCTGTGCTGGCCCCTCATCTGTTCAGGAACACACGTACACAATCACAACCTGCTACAGCGACAAAAAGATGTTGGGCTGTGGCATTAGTAATTAAAGATGATATCCAGTCTCTAAATGGAACTTTGTCTTTGTGCATATGTGTGTGGGCTCCTCTTGGCACAGTCTAGTCAGAGTAACACACTGGGGTGACAGATGGTCTTCTCAGGGGGAAGGAAATGACCCACATAGAGTTTGACTTCAATAGAGGATATCTTTCCATTTGTGAGTACAAACACACACATTGCCCTGAACTGTTTTTTGGAAAAGAGAGTAGAGACAAGCAAATCCACAAGCAGTAGCACAAGGTATGCCAAAGGCAACACAACAGGAAAGGTTTCTGCCCGTTCTCTTAGCAGCTCTTCCCAAGCAACAGTTCCAGGGTGGAAATGTGTGAGGTTAGCAGGGGAGTATTGATGAGGGTTATTTTATGAGGTTTTTACAATGCTGAATTTCATAAAACCAAAATTGACTAAGAAATGAGTAAAGCTCTGAGGTGGGGGAAGCCCCATGCGGTTTTTGCTGGATTAAATAAAAATCAAAGCCTCAGCCTACCGAATCAGTGCTACTATTTTGGATGAGAATGATGGACATGCTAAATTTAGAGAGCAATTTCCTGACTTAATTGGTTGGATCAATTCTCATAGGATTCCCAGCAAAATCTACTTGTAAGTCAGACTGTGATCCTGGTGGTTGAGGAAGATAAAAAGTGTATTGTTGGCCCCCAGGTCCTGGAATCCCTGTGCTTACTGGGATAACTGAAACAGCAGCATCCTCAGGCCGGGTGGAGCCCAGTCAGAAAGCTCAGGGGACAAGGAGTATTTCTGCAGCTTTGGGATTTCTCATGGGTTCCTGTTAGTTCCATGACTTCAGAACTTGTCAGGGCCTGGGTGTGTGTGTTAGATCTTGGGGTCTTGTATTCCCTTGGACCTGGTAGAGCCAATAAAGTTCAAGAGTGTTTGAGGGCCCAGTATGCCAACTTCCCAAGGGCCGCTCATGTATGTCCAAGTGGAGGGGCTAGACAGGTCTGTAGGAAGTAGTCAGGGAAAAGTCCCAGGTAATGCCGACCCCCTGTTGACTGGGATGGCGTCAGTGGGAAGAAATCCATGGGTGCCATGGCAGCAAATGCATCACACACACATCTCTTTTTATAAAAACTCTTACGGTTTTGGAGACATGACCATTCAGAATGCACAAAGAGATCCACACTGTGCAAAGTAGCTTGCATGGTTCACAAAGGCTATTCCACAACCAGCCCTGGCTCAGAGATGAGAAAACTAGGAATGTGTTTCTTGACAAGGAGGTTGTGGTACTCTCTGGAAGGTGCTGGAGGCCACATGGATGGCTGGATGGTGTCAGGAAGCTGAGGTATGATAGACAAGGGGACTTCATGGGCCCAGCTAGCTCAGCAAGAGAGGGAGGAAGATGCAGGGTTGGGTGGCCCAGGCCTTCGGTAACTCTGTGTGTGTGCGTACGCACTTTATTATTAAAGTAATACATGTTCCTTGCAGAAAATTTAGAGGCTACAAGAAACCAAAAATGTAATCAGTTACATTAAAAAGCCAAGGCAGAGACTTAGGGATTTAAAGGTGGGGTGAAAACATTTATTCCCCCTTCTCTCAACAACACTCCAAAAGCAAACAAAAAAAAGTTCCGTCACTATTTTCAATAAAACTAGGATGTCTCTGTAATCCCAAATCATAAACAGGAAGACAGAAAGGAGATGGAGGAATTGCAATTATCCAGTGGAGTAGATGTAGGTCAAACCTAAGCACCCAAGCAACATTAGAAAGAATCAGTAACTCGAGGAACCACGAATTGGGAAGGGTGAGATTAAGGTGGAAGCATGATAAGAGAGGGGTTGGTTAAAAATCTGTGTCAACTTCAGCTAGACCTTCAACTTGCCTTCATTCTGAACTTTTACAGCCAGATCACCATTCTTCTGTCTCCACAGATGGCAATATATATGTTCCCCTAGACAATGAGCCAGAGAGGCCCTGGGGCATGGGGATACCAGGGACAGAGGTGGATATGTGGTGATAGCCTGTATGGATAACTAGCGACTCTATGATTATCAGTGAGATTCAGCAGTTGCCTTTTCCAGCTAACTCCAAGACCCTGGCATCCAGGTTTTCTCCCCTGCCTATTCTGGACAGGAGATTAGGAGACAATTCTTTGAAGAAATAAATCAAGCCTATGGATTCTGAAAGAATAAGCCAGCTAGTCATCCCTGCAACAGTCCTACAGCTAAGAACACTCATCAACAAGCAGTGCCTAAGTACAAAGAGCAATGGGCACAGACATCAGAAAAAGTGCCAACATGAAAGGAAGGCCAAAATAAGTAAACAGATAAAGAGGAATTCAATGAAATTGAAAATGGTATATAGAGAAGAACTTTTCAAAGACACCATGATTTTTCATAATAAGTGAAGCTATTGCATTCATAAAATAATACAGGATGCAATAGAGAGAACAATTTAAAGCCCTTAGAAATTAAAAAGAAATACGACAGAAGAAAAAACTTAGTAAAAGCATTTAAAAATAAAGGAAATTTCCCAGAAAGTCAAATAAAAAGTCAAAGAGGTGGAAGATGGGAGAAAAAAGGTAAGAAAATCTTACCTTTAGAGGATCCTGATTAGAGGATCAATCTGGGAGGTCCACTAGCCCATTACAAACCTCAGAGGAGGAGCCCTGAGTGGGTAGCTCAGTTGGTTAGAGTGGCATCCCTATACATTAAGGTTGCGGGTTCATTCCCAGGGAAGGATATATGTAAGAATCAACCAACGAATGCATAAGTAAATGGACATCAACCTCTCTCTCCCCACCTTCTTTTTCTCCAAATCAATAAACGACATTTTAAAAAAACTAAAGGAGGAAATTATCAGAGAAAGAATATGAGAAAATTTGTCACAATCAGTACCTAGCACCCTGGTGAGAAAGATTACCCCAAGGCACATAAACCTGATGTTTCAAAACATCAGCTTTGAAGAGAACATTCTAACATCAGACAAAAATGATTAGAAATACAAATAGTGTAAATCTCTTACTAACAAGACTTAAAGTTAGAACACAGTGGAGATTATCCTCAAAATTCTGGAAAATAATGTTTTGTTGTGAATTTTATACCCAGCCAAACTATGAGTCACATGAAAATAGAATAAAGACATTTCCAGGCACACAGCCTCAAAAAATGTATGTCATGTGTGCTCTTGTTTTACTAAAACAAAAGAGTACACAAAGAAAATGTGGGTCTAAAAGAAAATGGATCTAACACAGGAAAGGGCTAAGGAGAGAGTTGGCTGATAGACCGCAGGCCAAGAGGGCAATGATACAGATTAGGAGGATAGCAGGCACCCAGAAGAAAAACTGGAATCAGCAGACTATCTGGGAGGTTTGTCTGGAAAATTGTATGAACATTTATTTCATAAAACTGTAAGGTGTGTGGAAAGACAAATTTGGATTAAAAAAAAAAAACCTAAGTAAAAAGAAAAAGAAAAGAGTCATTTTGGGGGGTTCTTTTTGCAGTTTATTTTTAAAAACTTTTTTTAAAGACTAAAACAAGGTACAGATAATCAACACAAAAGTATAGCAGTTCAGTCAATACAGGACAAATACCTTTGTAGCAATCGCGCAGTTCAAGAAATAGAACTTTGACACTCCAATTCCTTTTCTTCTGTTCCAGTCCCCTTCCTCCAAAAAAAGATAGTTATTAACACCAGAAACAAAAGAGTATACAGGATCTCCTGGCTGGGTAGTTCTGTTGATTAGAGCATTATTCCCATATGCCAAGTTTGCAGGTTCAATCCCGGGTCAGGGCACATACGAGAATCAACCAATGAATTAATAAATAAGTAGAACAATAAAATCGATGTTTCTCTCTCTCTCTCTCTCTCTCTCTCTCTCTCTCTGTCCCTCTCCTTCTCCCTTCCTCTTACTCTAAAATCAAGAAATAAATTTAAAAAATTAAATGTATTTTTTAAAAAGCATACAGAGAACAGCTGAGGAAGACAGCCACAGACAGTAGATTCCTGGAAGTCTTAAACAGACTGCCTAAGGTCAGATGGGGTTAACATCTGACATCATCAGAGGCAGATCCAGAAAGAAAAAAACAGCGGTCTCCTAACGCAGAAGCTCACACTACAAAGTCAGGAAATCAAGACAGATCAAT